GGGTTTGAACCACCAGCCTTCTGGTTAGCAGTCAAGTGCCTTAGCCACTACGCTGAGTTGTCTGATAATCTTCAGGAAAATGATTTTCTGGTAATGAAGTACATAGGCCTTACTCTAAAAATTACCTAATCCTTTGGCAGAAAACCAGTGCTCTAAAAACATAAGGAGCATCAAATGTGTCCACACGAAATCAATAGAAGAGTATCCTTTGTTTAGCATAGTTTTACTCCTGTAACAACAGTTCATTGATTTGCTAATTTTACAATCCAAGAGATACCTTTTTCATTTATTGTACCCTTAAATACCCCTTGCCCCAGTTTCCTAAATGAACTCTTGTTTTGCATGAATACAGACTTACTTAGGAACTATAATGCAATCTGAATACAAATAATAAGACATCTATCTCCCACCTTTTTTTCCCCTGAGTTAAAAAAAAAAAAAGGGAAAGGAGAGAATCTGGGAAATGCTTGTCTATTCAATTAGGTATATATGATGCTCAAATTATAAATGCCTCATCGATTATGTGAAATCCCACCCAGGAAAAGCAAATGTGTTTCAATGAAACAGAAACTACTTTTTCCTTAAAAATGTAACTCACCACTTAGTCCTAAAACTGTTCTTTTCTTCATAAGCACTGTTCTATCTTCAAAACACCATTAATAGGAAAGTACTAAAAGTTACCACTCCATTGGGTGTTTACCCGACATTGTGACCCATTGTAGACCTTCTGTGGCCCAAGGGAAACACACACTACAACAGAAAATGGATGAATCTCAATTTAGCACAAACATATCCAAAAGGAAAGGCATAAGCACTTGTAAGTGATCTGAGGAACACACCCAGGTAAACACAATGGATGCAGTAGTAGTGAAAAACCAAAGAGTGGTACTAGCAAAGGCGCAGACATTCTTGGGAGAATGACGTAACAGGTCTGTCTTGTTTAGAGCTACATATAACACAATTTTTAAAATATCACAATACAAGCTGGAATCCTACTTCTGGTTATTTCAGGGTAAACTTGGCATTAGTCATTCACCTCAGTTGTTGTTGTTGTGTGCCGTCGAGTCCTACCCGACTCATAGTGACCCCTCCTTGGGTTTCTCAGGCAGTATCACTACGGAAGTAGAATGCCCCATCTTCCTTCTGAGGAGTGGCTGGTGGATTTGAACCACCAGCCTTCTGGTTAGCAGTCAAGTGCCTTAGCCACTACGCTACCAGAATTTTGAATAATAGATTGTTTTACACCTTCTCTGTGGATAGTGTAGGCTATTATTCATTACCAAGTAACTACAAAAACACTCAACTGGGTTTTAGCCTAAGGGGGATAATACACAAATAAACCCTGGGAAGAGAAGAGAAGGTGGGAGTCAAGGAGTAGGATGTTGATTCACCTGTAAAGACAGAGGTGACGGAGGACAAAATGTTCTTGTCAGGATAATCACAAGGCATGGATTCTGGGATTTAACTACCAAGCATGTGTGTCCTTGTGCATGCCAGGACTCTATTTTACAGATTAGGGAAAGGGACTACACCAGATGCTCTTTGAGTTTTTCCAGCGTCCAAAGGGCAAATCACCCCCCGCCCCCACCCCCCACCCCCAGGTATATGTGTCTCATCAACCAACTCTGGGAAAATTCTGTCTCCACTCATTTAATCTGGGGCAGATCCCTGGCCTCATCCTCCACCTGGGACGCTCCTCCACAGTGAGCGTGAGACAAGCAGAGCAGTGCGGGGCAGGGTTGCTTCAAAGTTTAAGGGCAATCCTGCAACCTCGAAGTTGAAAAAACTGCTGCATCAGGGGTGCCCCGTTTTGCCAGAAAATAAGCAAGTGGATGCTCACGTTCCTCTCTCTCTCTCACCTCTCCTCAAACTCCGAAAAGAAACCATATCGGCCTATGTGCTCAGAGGTCACTTGAGAAGAGCAGAGTGGCGTCACTCAACTACCCCCAAAACCTCCTCCAAGGCCCAAAACAGCTGAAAAAAAAAAATATCTGGACCAGCAAAAGCGAAGCACCCTGCAGAAGGTGGCCTGTTACTGCACTATTACTAGATTCTGCAGCCCCGGGGAAGATACGGTCAGGAAGACGGTGAGGCGCTCGGTGCACTGGACCAGGAGTTGCCATTCTCCCACAATCATGTCCGAAAGCCTCCAGGATGCTACCGAGTCACCCCGAACGGTTTGGCGCAGGTGGTCGCGAAATAAAAAATGAAGCCCCTGTAACCACCCAGCACAAGAGGTTTTGGGATCACTTCCCAAGAGTTGAGGGCGGCAACATTCCAGTCACATTAAGAAGCCACCTCTCAGCTTCCGGCTGCGCGAACCTCCCCTCCCCCAAGTCACCGGAGCCGGGCGACCCAGGGCGGTCTCCTACCGGTGGTGGAGAGCACGGTGCTGGCGAAGAAGAGCGCTGACGTGAAGTCCCAATTCCAGTTGCTCGAGGTATTGCTAAGCACCGACACGCCGTAGCTGCTGGCCTCCAACACCCGCGTCAAGAACTGCTCTAGCCGTTCCTCTGTCAGGCACTCGTGCTCATCCAGGAAGCGCCGTTTCGCCTTGCTCAGGTCCTGGCGCAGCAGGTCCTCGTTGGGCAGCTCCACCGAGGAGAAGACCACCGCGCCGAACACCAAGTACAACACGTAGCCGACCACCAGGAAGCCAAAGAACCAGGCCGAGCGATGCCGCTCCACCAGGGGCACGCACGAGTTGCTGGCCAGCGACTGCAGCATCTTCCTCCCCCACGCGCCGGCGCCGCCGCCGCCGCCCGGGCCGAGAGCTCCAGTCTCGCGCCCAGGGCCCAGCACCGCGCCCTCCTCGGCACCGCCTGGCCCGCCCCGCGCTTCCGCCCGCGCCACCTGCGCCGGCCCGGGAGCTGCGCCCCACCCCCGGCCCCTGTCGGTTTGGGGGGCCCCTGGTGCCGCCGCTCCTAGCGCGCCTTCGCCGCTCCCGCTCCCGTAGCCGCCTTTGTGCAGCGGCCGGCTCCCGGCGATTGGCTTGCTGCGGCGGGTTTTTTTCTTCCTTCTTTTCCTGCTTCCTTGCAATATAAAAAGCCCAGATGATGTGGCGCTGACGTCGTTGTCCAGCTCAGGTAACCGGAGAGCCGCCAGAGACCGGGTGGTAAACTTGGCCAGGTTGCTGGCGCGGGTGGCTGGAAAGGGAAGGAAAAGATGCCTGACCTCCTGGCAGTCCTGTGTTGTCCTGCCGGCCCAGCCGCCTCTGGAGTGGCTTGGGGGTGCCCGGACCCCCGATTGTACCTCTCCGGGCTCCGCGAGTTCTCCTCCCCGTGTGAAAACAGATAACCTGGACTCAGGCCCAGAGGTGAAAGCGCTCGGTGTGTTATGAGTGGGCGATTGTGGGGGAAAAAGTGCCGCGACTTCTGGGAAAGGTTCTGGCTTGTCCGAAGTCCCCTGTTGGAGCCTCCACTTTTTCCCGTGTTCCCTCCTAATCGAAAGGACTCATACAAAACAGCAAGCACTGAAACACTGCCCTCCAAGTGTCTTATCCGGTGCCATTATGATGGTCGCAACTTTAGAATTTAGAACTGGAAGATACCTTGGATCATAAAGGTCTCCACCCTACGCCCTACCTAAACCAGGTCCTTAGGAAAACGAAGAAGGTAAAGGGAAGTTGGAGAAAGGTCTCATTTCTGAGTTCTAATATTTAAAACACAACCTTAGGTTTCATGATGAAGAAAGTTCCAGTGTGCCAAGTACCAAAAGCAATAGAACTTTACCAAATATGTTTGTGTGTGTTTGTTGTTAGGTGTCATGGAGTTGGTTCCCACTCATAGAGACCCTATTTAGACCAGAATGAAACTGCTTATTTCTGTGAGTCTGTTGTTGCAGCCAATGTGTTAATCCATTTAGTCGAAGGGTTTTTTGTTTTGTTTTGTTTTTTTGGCTTTCTGTTTTTCCAAGCTTGGTGCCCTCCTCCATGGAGTGGTCTGCCCTGATAACATGTCCAAAGTACAGGCGACCAAGTCTCACCACCCTTGCTTCTAAGGAACATCTGGCTGTAGTTTTTCTAAGACAGATTTGTTTGTTCTATTCGTAGTCCATGGTATATTCAGTATTTTCCAAAACCATAATTCAAAACCATCAATTCTTTTTTGGTCTTCCTTATTTATTGTCCAGCTTTCATATGTATATAAGGCTATTGAAAGTATCATGTCTTGGGTCAGGTGAACCTTACTCCTTGATGTGACATCTTTTCAACACTTGCAGCAGATTTGCCCAATGTGTACGTTATTTGATTTCTTGGCTGTTTCCATAAGCATTGATTGTGGATTCAAGTAAAATTAAGTTCTTGACAACTTCAGTCTTATCTGTTTATGTTGTTTATTGATCCAGTTGTGAAGAGTTTTGTTTTCTTTCTGTTGTAGTGTGATACATAACGAAGGCTGTATGTAGCCTTTGATCTTCATCAGTAAGTGCTTCAAGTCCTCTTTGCTTTCAGCAAGCAAGGTCGTGTCATCTGCATATTGCAGGATTATTAATCTAATCCTGATGCTGCATTCTTCTTCATTTAGTCCAGCTTCTCATATTATGTGCTCAGCATACAGATTGAATAACTGTGGTGAAAGGATACAACTCTGACACACACAACACACACCTTTCCTGATTTTAAACCATGCATATCCCTTTGTTCTGTTTGAACAACTGCCTCTTGGTCTATGTACATGTTTCACATGAGCACAAAAAATTTTCTTGGCAATGTTTTCCATAATTTGTCATGATCAACACAGTCAAATTCCTTTGCATGATTAATATAACACAGATAAACATTTCCATTATTCTCCACTTTCAGCAATGAGATCCCTCATTCCATGTCTTCTGAATCCAGCTTGAATTTCTGGCAGTTCCCTGTCTATGTACTGCTCCAAACATTTTTCAATTATCTTCAATAAAATCTTACTTGCATGTGATATTAATGATATTGTTCAATAATTCCCTTAATCACCTTTTTTTTTGTGTTTTTAAGACGATGGAAACATAGAAAAAGGGCAGTGAACTGCCATATTGTAGGTGAAAATGAAAGTTGTGCATGCTTTCTGGCATTTTGGCAATATGTTTCAAGAGCCTTGAAAGACTTTTTCTACTTTGACTCAGTGATGGGTCCTAAGAAAAAGATCATCAGAGAGGCAAAGATTTATATACTAATGCAGTGAATTACTTAATATGGCTCTTCTATCCATGGTCTTCGTGACTCCTACCAGATGACTGGGCTGGGACTTTACAAATGTGAGATGCTTATGACCCACAAATGGGATTAGATAACTTGTTAATAATGTAAATAAAGTACTTGGCACCCTTGCAGGGTTGAGACCGTGCAAATAAGGTATATGGAATCCTGTGGGAACGGATCAGTTTTGCCATCACACTAGGCTTAAAATGAACCATCCCAGAGGTAGAAAGAGGGACCTCACCACCATCAAGAGAGAAGAGCTGGGAGTGGAGCACATTCTTGGATCCAAGATCCCTACACTAAGATGGCAGAAATGGTAGTAGCAAAGGCAGAAGAACCAACAAAATTAGTAGACCAGCATGACACAGAGCAGTGGGCCTCTCAGCCTGTGGAGCAAGAAAGCTGAGTGCCTTTGGGTAGGAGGCTTATTAGAGTAGAGTGCCTCTCTGGGCATTTATCAGCAAAGCTAAAAGAGCTTTGTAACACTGGACCGAGCAGGGCAGAGGCCAAGGCCAGAGAGAAGTATGCCTACAGCCTGGCTGAGAAGAAGCTGTCCTGATCAAAGAATTGTGTACTGAGGTTCCAGAACCTGAATTAGAATCTGTTACTTCCCTAATAAACCCCATAATCATGAATATTGACTGTGAGTTCTGTGTGGCCATTACGACAAATTATTGAACCCAGCAGAGAAGTAGAGAGTGCTGTGGGAGGAATAGGTGGTGAAGAATTGGAGGGTGGCAGCACATCTGACCTCTGTCTCATTGGAATCAACCCTGGACTGATGCTGTTGATGGTGATTCTCTCTTCCCCTTGTGAGGTTAAAAGAGTTCAGAAGATGCCTCCCCCATACCCTTTTTGCGACAATCCTATTCATAAATGTTATATACATAAAGAATCAGGAGGGAAGAAAATGTTCCAAATAGAGGAAAAGTTCAATAAGTTATAGTTTCTCTAAAGTGTGATTATAATAGAGCCAATTAAAAATGGGTTTGAAGATTATGGGAGCATTAGCAAAACTGTATAAAATATATGAACTGTAACTGCATAACAGATCAACTGTATGGAAATAAAACCAGTTCCTCACAATTGTCTTTGTGTGATGGTGAAGGATGTGGAGATACATACATATATACATACATACATTCACACACACACACACACACACACACACATATACACACATCTTTATCTCCCATTGCCATCCAGTGGATTCCAACTCATGGTGACCCCATGTGTTACATGAGATTTTTGGGGCTATAATATTCGTGGAAACAGATCACCAGACCTTTTTTCTTTTTTTTTTTT